CACTTGGGAGGCAGAGGCAGGTGGATCTCTGTGAGTTTAAGGCCAGCCTGGTCTATATAGTGAGTTCCAGACCAGCTGGGAGACCCTGTCTCAAAAAGACAAAAAAAAAAAAATGCTATTCAGGGTTTGGAGACATGGCTCAGTGGTTCAGCACACAGGCAGAGAACCCGGGTTCAGTTCTCAGAATCAACATGGGAGCTAACAACATCTGTAACTCTTGACTCCCTCTTCTGGTTTCCACAGGCATTGCATACATGTAGTACATTACATACACTCAGGCAAAACAGACACACATGAAAATAAAAACAATTTTAAATGCTATTTTTTTTTCATCTGAGACAGGAGACAGGGTCTCCCTGTAGCCCCAGCTGTCCTGGAACTCACTATGTAGACCAGGCTGGCCTGAACTCACAGATCTGCCTGCCTCTGCCTCCAGAGTGCTGGGATTAAAGGTGTGCACCATGGCACCCTACTGTCCTTCCCACTTTAAGCAAACCCCACCCAGGTGACTTTCAAAATATAACTGAGGGGCCAGTGAGATGCCTCAGCAGGTAAAAGTGCTTGGGGCACAAGCCTGACAACTTTAGTCTGATCTCTAGAACTCACATAAATGTGGAAGGAGAGAAATGACTCCACAAAGTTGTGTGACTTCCATATATGCACTGTGGAATGCCTCCCACCCATCATGTGCACACACAATAAATAAAAATTTACGGCTGGCAGTTAGCTGCCATGTGGGTGCTGGGACTTGAACCCGGGTCCTCTGTAAGAGCAGTCAGTGCTCTTAACTGCTCAGCCATCTCTCTAGCCCCTGGGATTTGTTTTTGTTTTTTTTTTTGACACAGCATCTGTGCTGGATAGCTTTAGTGTCAACTTGACTCACCTGGGTTGAGGGAGCCTCAACTGGGGAATTGCCTTCATTGGACTGGCCTGTGGCCACGTACATGGGGCATCTTCTTGATTGTTGAGTGATGTGGGAAGGCCCAGCCCACTGTGGGTGGTGCCACCCCTGGGCAGATGGGCCTGTGTTGCATAAGAAAGCAGGCTGAGCAGCAGCCAAGGGAGCAAGCCAGTAAGCAATGTTCCTCCATGGCCTGTGCTCCCGCTCCTGCCTCCAGTTTCCAGGTTCCTGCCCTGAGTTCCTACCCTGGGATCCCTGATGAACTGTGACCCAGGAGATGTAAGCCGAATAAACCCTTTCCTCTCCAAGTTGATAGTGTTCAGAGTGGTTTGTCACAGCAATGGAGAAACAAACTAGGACAGCGTCTCACTATGTAGCTGTGGCTGGCCTGTACTCACCATGTAGCCCAAGCTGACCTTGAACTCACAGAGATCCACCTGCCTTCCTAAGGAGCTAAGATTAAAGGTGTGTGCCACTATACCTAGCCAAAGAGTTCCTTTTGGTTTTGTTTTTTTGAGTTTCTGTGTCTGTAAACATCTGCGCACAGGTGCACGTACTGTGTGTGTGTGTGTGTGTGTGTGTGTGTGTGTGTGTGTCAGAATATGTTAAATTTTTACTAACATTTATAAAGGTAAAATCAGGCAAACAAAGGGCATAAAATCAAACAAAATTTTATAGATTTACCTATAATCACAATACCTAGTGAGAATTACTGTTAATGTTTTAATGTCTGTAAGTGTTAATACTTACAGATTCCCGTAGGTACCCTTGCCCAGCAACATCATATAAACTGAGTCCTATTCTTGTTTGATGAAGCCAGACTGTTAATAAACAAGAAAATTAAATGTAAATATTTAGATCTGCTCTTTAACACATATATGAAAAAAATATGAAGCTAGGTTAGAGGTGTAAGCCAATTTAGTAACACCATAAACCTACTTTCTTTCGCACACATTAAGTAATCATTAATCACTAAATTATTTAAAACGAAACAAAAAGGCCACGAAAAGGCAGATTTCAGTAACCCTGCCATGATTACAACTACAATAAAACTGGTGCCTATGAAGACATCGCTTCTAACCTATTCAACTCATTGTCCACCAAACAGGGAGAGCAAGCATAATGCTGTGTCAATGGAGCTGCGTGTACTCTACTGAGGTTAATTACTGTAGCTAAATTAACTCAGGATGGTACACAGTAAGACTCTCCAGACCATTATGGTACTTCAAGATTCATAACAACTCCCAAGTTGTTAGTAGAGGCTTCTTGAAACCAATACTAGAGTTGTGGATTTGAGACTATCCTTTTGAAGCTTATATAGTGAAATAAAATTACCAGTAAGTTAAAATTATTTCAAATCACCACCCATTAAAACTCTTGGTTCTGTTTTTCAAATGATATATATTTATTTTATGAGAGTTTTGCCTACATATGTGTTACGTACACTACGTGTGTTCTGGGTGTCCCAGGAGGCCAGAAGAGGCTTTCAGATCCCTTGGAACTAGGGTTACAGGTGGTTGTAAGTCGCCTTGTGAGTGATGGTGTCTCCAGCCTGGTTTTTTGTTTTGTTTTGTTTTGGTTTTTGGCTTTTTGAGACAAGGCATGTGCCACCACACCTGGCCTTTTCTAAAAAGTGATTTCATTACTCAAGTATACAGGACAGATTTATGCTACTAGGGCAGAGGCTGTAGATGACCCATAGATCCTCAGGAAGATTAGGTAGAAGTCCTCTGGACTTAAGGATTCTGTAAAGTGTATTGCCAGTCACACAATGCACAATGCAAAACCATTTGAGGCTCTCAGGATCACACCTATTTGTAAGGGAGCCAGGCCTTTCTTGTTCACTTTGTAAATCTGCTTCTTCATGTTGTCAGATGTCAACTCTGGCCAAGTTACAGAACAGAGCAGACTGAGACAGGCCCTTCAAGGGTGTATGCATGTGACCCACGAGGGCAGCAGTCTGGCAGAAAAAAAAGTAGTTCTGCTTTTGATGTTTCTATTTTGCTACTATCTATGATACATGAGGCTTTTGCTTGTTTAAAATAATGACCCAATTAAGGCACATAAGAAAATCATAGTAGCAGAGTAAGGATGTTGTGTCACATGAGAAAAAGAGTATAAAAGCACAGACCAAAAACCTGAGTCCCAGACAAGAGAAATTCAAATACACACATACGCAACTGAATCACCTTTTCGCATGACATAGTTAAAGAACTGCATGATGGAAATTCTTCCATATGAATCTGCATGAAGGAGTTTGGCAAAGACTTTTAGAGTGAAAAAGTGCCTAGAAAAGAAAATAAAGATTAAAATAGTCTACCAACATAAAACAAAAATGACCTCTATAAGACTTAGCAAACAACATAAATTCATACAATTAAAAACCAAAGTGAGAAAGTATAAAGACTCCTTCCAGTCCAAAAATTTGAAATACTAAGTTTTACATATCTGCATTCTTCCTTTGCATTCTTCTGTCTGAAAAATGAAAGAATGAAGGCCTGGGTGCATCCCTTCAACCACTGCAGCCTGGGCTCTGGGCTGAGTGTCTGTTGTGACTGCTTCCTTTTCCTAGCTCCAGTGGGGAGTGCAGAGCAGGGCTCAAAGTTGCAGGAGGAGAATCTGCAGGGCTGCTGGGTAGAACAGTACCTTAGTAATAATGGGATAGGAACAGTGTTCCAGTTCCAGTTTCTATTTATGAAGGTGATATGGAACAATACTGCTGGTGCCTAGCATGACTCTGGACAGAGCAGCTCCAAGAGTTCTTATTGTGATGGCCCACCTGGCTCACAGACACAACAGAGCTTCTGAAACAGACACACACAGCACTGGAGAAACAACTCAGTTTGAGGAAGATTATACTGAGAAGGAAATAAGCCAAAAGCATCTTGAAGAAAAACTGCAATTGGATATGAGATTGGCCAAGACAGTAAGAAAACACCCCTACCCGCCTCCCTTTTTCATTGAGACAGGATCTTACTTTGTAGCCCTAGCTGGCTTAGAATCTATGTAAACCAAGCTGGCCTGGAACTCAGAGATCCACCTGCCTCTGCCACTGCAATGGGCCAAAGAGTTCCTTTTTAAACACCAAGAGCATGGCTACTCTCTGCCTAAGAAACAAGGGTTAGGAAGAAAAGGGGCAGTCAGGCATGGTTGTGTATGCCTGTAATCCCAGCACTCAGGAGGCTGAGGCAGGAGAATTGCCACACATTTGTGGTCATCCTGAGTTACAGCGTTACAGAATTCAAGTTCCAGATCAGCCTGAGCTAGGGTAAGATCCTGTCTCAAATCAAACCAAACCAACAAAAAAGAACATTTTTCTAAGTCAAATTTCTGAAGGTTTTTCTGCCTCTGCTGCTTTCTCAGCCACTGGCCGATGGACTGGGGATCTATGGTGGAAGGCGTCTGACCGCTCTACCAGCTCATTTTGATGACAACTGGACCTGACTTTGTTCACATAGTGAAAATTCACATCTGAGATTATGACAGCTAACTGCAGAGCTGTAACAATTCTTGGTTATAACTTTTGTGTTCATTTGTTTTGTAAATGCAGCATTTCTAGCTCTGTACTGCAAAAGGACAGACACTAAAATCATGACCTGTAATTATACCTATGGGATCAATTAATGAGCACACCACACTGATATCTACTGTAAGCATCTGGTAGTAAATTTTCCTTGGATATTAGATATGGTGTAAGTAATTTTCATACACTAGTCATGATGGCTGTACTATTTAAAGGGTTATCTGTCAGCAGGGCATGGTGGTACACACCTTTAATCCCAGCACTAGGGAGGCAGAGGCAGGTGGGTCTCTCTGAGTTCAAAGTCAGCCTGGTTTACATAGTGAGTTAGGGAGACCCTGTCTCAACAAAAGAATTATCTGTAACCTTAATTCAGTTAATACAATATTACAAAAGACTGGACAGCACTGATATCAAAGTAACTACATTAAGGGCTTTGTCCAAAAGGAATATTATCGCCATATAACCTCATAAAAAATATCATGTGGCTAAGTGAATGCAGGTTGTCTATAAAGACCACTTAAATATGTAAATTATTTAAACACTTAATAGAAACCATGGCACACCCACAAACTCCACTGTACAGTTTGTAAACTGTGCAGTTCTTACTTTTGGAGTATGAGATCTCCAATCTGGCTGTCAAGACATCACCTCAGGTGGTAGCACCTACTCTGTCTTCTACTCTGTATCACTCTGGATTGCTGGGTT